TCCCCCAGGGGCAATACACTTGTCTCTCCAAAACTGGGCACCTACCCAAGAGTACAGTTTTCAGTTCCCGCAATTACAGTCAGCTTAGTCTTGCTACACTGCTCTGATGATACACTGTTTTGATGTTTTTCTTTAAATCTGCGCTTAAGGCTCTAAACCTAGAAAAATAGACTTAGCTCTATTTGTTAATCAGATGAATAGTAACCATGGCTATTTTAGAATCAATAATAAGGAAACTGCAAGTAGGGCCCAGGCCAACCAGGCGTGAGGGAACAGGTCATGTTTGTTCCAAGACCATCAGGGAAGCCAAGCAAGCATAAGTCCAAAAAATTAATGATTGCTAAGGCACCAATAATCTCTAATCTTTAAAAATTGACCTTTATGTGAACATTTTTTCTGAAAGAATCAAATGATCTAATCTTTGTGAAACTGCATACTCAAAACATATATGACCTTGCTAAACTTCAATAAAACAGGCCAGGCTCAGCTTTGCTAGTGTCTGTGTCCTCATTCATTCCGTCAGTCGCTGACGCCGTTCCTCCTTCAGGGACCCCTGGACTCACCAGAGCTGGACTCCAGCAGTAAAGTCAACTGATCTGTAGGTGTTAACTGCATATACAAAATACCTTCACAGCAACCCCTCAGATCAGTGTTTGGTTGAATAACTGGATACCGTAGCCTATCCAAATTGACAACACCAAACTGATCTCATAATGTCTATAGTAAGAGTTCCTCCTCTATATAGGGGTTGTGTGAGGAGTAAATTTTGAGATGGCGATATGCGAATCACTTAGCATAGGGCTGATGTAGCCTTAGCATAGTAACCCTTAACAAATCTTAACTTCTATCCTATTTATTATCTTATTATTAAAGATGCAAGTAAGAGGCAGTATAACAGGTCCATAACCCTCTTCTGCAATTCAGAAATCAAATAAGCTCTGAAAACCAGAAGGTTTTTTAAATAAGCTATTTGGCAGTAAAACTTGACCTGATCTGAATTCCTTTGGTGATGCAACCTTGTTGGAGCTTACACAAGTCTATTTATAGTCTTTCTTTATCGTACTTAATATGCATATTCATGTTCACACTTTATTAATATACAGCTGACCCTTGAATGACATGGGTTTGAACTGTATGGGTCCACCTGTACTTGGTTTTCTCAATAAATATATTAGAAATTGTGGGGGGGGGATGGGTTGCAACAATTTGAAAAACCATTTTCTTTTCTCTAGCTTATTTTATTGTGAAAAATGGTACATAATACATAAAATATACAAATGATGTGTTAACTGACTGTTATTGGTAAGATTTCCTGTCAACAGTAGGCTATTAGTAGTCAAGTTTTTGAGGAGTCAGAAATTATTGATGGATTTTCCACTTTATGGGAAGTCTGCACTCCTACCCCCGGCATTTGTTTGAGGGTCAGTATAGTTGATTTTGGGGTGCTGCCTTGAACCCTCATAGGGTTAGTGACTAAGGTCACCCAGCCCTCTTTGGTCCAAGGGGAATGTCATCCTCCACCCATCAAATGCAAAACCGGTTTTTGCCATCCTCTGGAAATGTGCTTTCTGCCTTAGTTGCATTTTAGGGTACCAAATGCAGGAAGGGCTGTAGGCAGGGAGGAAGATGGTAAGGCAAGCCCGAGACCCAGAGGAGAGATAAAGGCCTGGTCCCACTTGTGCAGGTGCCGGGACTGCATTCAGTCCGGGCACCTCGGACCCGCCCTCATGTCGCCCTCTTGCTCCTGGGCCTTCTGGATGCACTTCCCGGGATACCTGCCCTCGCCCCTGGACCCAGGCAAGTGCAGAGCTTGTGCTGTGTGTTCTCTAGTGGGGCAGGCCGGAGAGTGGCCGCCAAGCCTCTAGGCTCCAGACCCTGCTCCCCATCTCATTTTCTCTGGGACTCTGGGCAACTCCCGTAATTTCCCCAGGCCCGGAGAGCTGCATCAGTGAAATGAAGGTCTTTAAGCCCTGCCTCACCAAGTTTTAACTTAAAATTCTTCCTATCTGTCACTTAGGAATTAACATTTTTTTCTACCTCTCCTTTAGGAAAATCTCCAGTCTCTTTCCATTTGGCTATCTGATTCCTCTTTGATCTTACAACTTCCAAAACCTAGTGAAGAATGAGGGAAACTAACATTTATTTGCCTAAGCTGCTAAGTGCTTTTATATGTCTTGTCTTGGTTAATCCTTGCAACAGCCCACTAAGGGGTTACATTTATTATCTTCCTGTTGCAGAAGAGAAAACTGAGGCACAGGGAGGCTAAATGATCTGCCAGGGCAACACAGCTTACAAGCAGCGGCTCAAACCCATGCCTGTTTGCCTTGAAAACTTGAGCTAGGACCATGATACCATGCTGACTCCTCCTTTGAATCTCTTGGAAAAAGACTGCCTACTGTTATTTCAGACCTGCTGGATAAGAAGTGGGCATGGGGACCCGCCATCCCATTACAGGTGGATGCGGAGGCAGGGGACCATGGTGGGACGCTGCCGAGCACCGGAGCTGTTGTCTTGTCCCTGGGGACATTCCTCCTCCGGAGCCTGCCCTCATGCTCTCAAGGCTTCCACCTGCTCCATCTTCTCAGTTCCTGTCTGCGAGGCCCGGACACCCACGGCTGCTGGCTGTGCTGTCAGTGGACATTCTTCCACCTGATAAGAACGCCCAGAGCACACTTGGTGTCACTGATAAGGCCATTCCCCTCTGTGCAATGTCTGTGTCGTAAGAAAATCTCAGAAGGCGCTCCACATTCTTTTCTACCCTTTGCTGTGACTTCTTAGCACTTATACCTTCGAAGTATAGTTTGATGAGGAAATAAATATTTAACTGCTGAAGAAATGGAGAGTGTTAGTGATAAGATGGATGTTTTTATATCTTATGTATGTGAATGTCATGTTTCTCTGCCTCTCTGCGCACAGAGAACTGAAAGTAACAGAATGGAAAATAGGACAAAATGCCGTGGGTAAAATTGTGACTGTAAACATATTTTTTAAATTGACATAAATACATAACCCCACTTGATAAGCCATCAAAGTCAAGGGACAAGTAATCACCATGAAGGAAAGGCAGTGAATCATCACAAAGAAAAGTGCAGGCTGGTTAAGCCACGCTGTTTAAAATAACCCTCAAGGCATGGAGCAGGCGTCTTCCCAGTCAGCAGAAGTTCTGGGAACCATCTGTAGGAGCCAATTAGGGAATAATAATAACCCACCGTTTGCTGAGCTCCTGTCCTGGGCCTGCTACATGCTCACGTGCACTATTTTCTCAGCATTCCTGCAAGGTCGGCAGGCGTTATCTCCATGTTAACAGAGAAACTGAGGCCTGAGAAGTTAAGTGACTGTGAGACATGTTTCCAAGTTCCTGAGCCCAGTGGTCGTGAAAACACTTGATGAATGCAAGAGCCCTAAGGCCCACCCCAGAGAACACCCAGAAGCGTATTCTCGGGGATCCTGAGATGGCTGTACACTCAGCGGCACTCCCACCCTCACCCCAGCCTGGGAGCTGCCTGGCTGGTGTCCCTGGACCCCTGACAGCACTAGGACAAAAGAGAAAGACCAGGTCCTGGGTATCCTAGAACTCATCCAGTCACCCCAGCCTGAGCCCAACTGGAGGTTAGAAAAATCCATGCCGTTATTTGCTGTGTGTTACTCTTTTTGGGAAAGGAAATTCTGCGGTGACAGCGCATACTCACAGATACAACAGAAAGTAAAGTATTAAACCCATTGTTAGGACAGTGGAGAAACAGCATTGCTTATATGTTTCTAGCACCGTTTGAAGGACAAACTGGTAAAATATAAAAGGTGATTATGGTGTTCATTTGATTTGGCCTAGGAATTCCATATATTGAAATCGACCTTAAGGAAATAACTCACTGAATTAACAAGATAATTGGTTGAAAGAGATTCATAATGCTGCCATTTATAGTTCTAAGGAATTGGAAACAACCCAGACACCCAAAATAGAATAATAGCTAAATAAACAAGCACACAAATCACTAATGTAATATATAGCTGTTTAAGTAACAGCCAGTTAGGTTATTTCAATACACAGAAATGTTGATGTGATGTAATGTTACAAAAAAGCAAAATACAAAATAGATCATTTATACCAATAACATCCATGTGTGCTCATTGATGAAGATGAAAGGAAATTTGGACTGATTCAAATAACTCATCATTTAATATTCTTTTGAATTTTTATCTGTGTAGAGTTGTTTCAGTTCCTGATTTTTGTTTGTTTGTTTGTTTAAAGAAAGGTATTTCTCTGGGCTTGTCTGATACTTTGTAACTTCTCCAAATTTTTGTGAGTACACATGGCATCGCGCAGGCAGGGGTGAGTCCTGGTAGGGCGGCGAGTGCATTGAAGACTGGCTTACAAAAGGCCGGAAGGCTGCTCTCTGCACAGCCCAGCTGGGAAGAGATTTTATTAATTTCAGCTTGAAGAGCTGGGCTCTTTGCCTCTTACCCACAGTTTCTCTCCTGCTTTCTAGGAAGATCAGCCCATCTACATGGCAGTGAAGGGAGTGGTGTTTGATGTCACTTCTGGAAAGGGTAAGTGACTTGCATTTATGAATCCTGTTGTTGGGAGAATTTGGCAGCCAGAGTGGGCACTGGAGGGAGGAAAAGGAGGGAACTCTGAGAAGCCCTCCCCGCCAGATGGAGTTAACACTCCGTCAGTGTTGTCATTCAGCCGGATCATTTTTTCTAATAATGTCATGCTCCTGCTCAAAAGCCTTCCATGGCTCCCCATTGCCTACAGAATCAGATTCAAACTTGATGGTTTACCCTAGTTGAAACAGGTGAGAGGAAAAGTGTTACCTAGCAAACAGTTGGAATCCTAGAACATTTTCATGGCATTTCATGGTTTTCCTAATGGTAAGTACAAATGATATCACATGGAGGTGGTTTCGTAATGGTTCATTATTTGGTACCAAACAAAAGATGCTGAATGGAAAGAAACTTGGCTTCCACCAACATTTAAGAAGACTGAATATTTTTCTTCTTTGTATTTTAAATATTTTTAAGAGATTGTTTTCATTCTGTATTTTTAAAAACTCATCTCCTAGCCCAGCATGTATGACTTACTCCATAATCTGAACTTGTGGAATCCAAACTGATGTCTGCAGATGGCCTATTGGACATCATGTCATCACTGCTTTCCCTCCCCTTGGAGCCTTCTTGGGGGCTGGGTTGGGTCTCAGAAGCACGTCCCTCCCCCTGCCGCTGCTGCATGCACTCCACACTCACATCCCCTTCCTTCCTCCCCTTACAGAGTTTTACGGACGAGGAGCACCCTACAATGCCTTGGCTGGGAAGGACTCCACCAGAGGGGTGGCCAGGATGTCCCTGGATCCTGCAGACCTTACCCATGACACTGTGAGCCAGACCGCGAGCCTTTGTCGTGATGTCCTGCCCCCTTATCTGCGGCCTTCATACCTCTGGGCAATAGCAAAGCTTCCTAACTAGGCTTTTACATTCCACTCTGTCTACTCAGTATGGTGGCCAGCTCTTTGCTTTGAATAGATATTTTACTGTGCTGTTCCTACTCAGAAACCATCCATGGCTCCCCATTGCCTACAGAGTCAAGTCCAAACTCTTGTGAACTTGTGATCAAACTCAGTGACCTTCACAGTCGGCTCCAACCTGCCTTGGCAGCCCCATCCCCCTTACAGTCTATACTCACCACCCCCTGATTCTTGCAGATTTGCTGTTAGTCTCTGAAACCCACTCACCAGACCAGTCTTGATAGCTCAGGGTTTGAGAAATAGTCTCCCCCATGCTTATATTTCTGTGGAGGAGAAAAATAGCATTAACAAAAACCACCATTTCAGAGTCTTAGCCATCCCAGCAGAATGGCTGGCATTCTCCCCACTTGTGCTCAGATGAGTCAACTCTTTAACTGTAACATTACAGAAGCAAGAAATACAGGCGTGGGGAGTGTGTAGTAATCTAAATGGGAGGAGCGTGGAGGATGGTGGGCTTTCTCAGGCAGGAGCGGGTGGGTGCAGGCTGCGCGGTGCTCCCCCGTCCCGCCCAGGCTGGGTTTCTTAGAGTCTTTAATTCCTGTGTCAGCTGGACAGCACACATGATGAAGCCATTGCTCCCCCAGCCCCTCCTCCAATCCCCCTCACCACAGGGTTATTTCTTAACAAGTCAGTCCATTTGTTTTTTTGAGAAAATTTTTCTCTTGCATTAGGGGTGTGAGGAGAGTAAGGCATGCGTGGGTGGTGAGAGGTCAGTGCCAAGCATGAGTCACTCATCCTCACCTTCCATATCTCTTGGGCTTTTCTCCCCAAGACGGGCCTCACGGCCGAGGAGCTGAAGTCCCTGGATGATGTCTTCACCAAAGTGTACAAAGCCAAGTATCCCATCGTCGGCTACACGGCCCGAAGAATTCTCGGTGAGGACGGCAGCCCCAACCTGGACTTCAAGCCTGAAGACCAGCCCCACTTTGACATAAAGGACGAGTTCTGATGTCCCATCTGAAAGGACATGATGAGGTGGGGGACTCACAGGTGTGAAATCTGCAGACTAGGCTGCCCAGGCCTCTGGCCATTCAGGTCCAAAAAAAATAGACACTTAACCTGGAGCTCTGACGTCCTCTTGTTGTCCTTGGTCGGACGTCCTGTCCACCTGGGCGTCCTGCCCGCACACTGGCCAGGGTGGGAATAATAGCCAAAGGGGGAAGCTTCCTCAGTGTCAGCATTGGCTGGCTGGATGGTGGAATCACAGGTGACCTGTATTTCTTCTTTTATTTTTCTGAACTCGCCACATTTTCTACTGTGACCATGTTTACTTTAGAATAAGCACAAAAATAAACTTCCTGTTTGCACAAAGGGAGAATTCTTCCACGTTGCCCTCGCCTTGCAGCCTCATCAGGACCACGTGTCTGGGACAGCCTGGTGCTCACCTGCCGCATCCTGCTGTCTGCCTGCCCACCTGCGGGGGCCAGGAGGCAGGGGCATCTGCGAGACAGGGCAGAGATGGCGAGGACTAGGTAGCAGGGTGGAGAAAGGGAAAGGAGGAGCTGAACGGGTCTGACTGCACCACCACAACCAGGAAGAAGCGCCCGTGTGAAGTGGCTGCAGCCCCGTCTGCCGCTGGAAAGGGGTGAGGGGGGCTGGGGCCCGGTGTGGGCACAGCCTGGTTCAGCTCATTGGGAGGATGGGGAGACAAACACCACGCTGGACTCAGGACAGATTTCATATGGAAAGTCTTGCTGAGAAGGGGCATCTTCCTGCTAAGGGACGTTTGGCAATGTCTAGAGATACTTTTAAATTCTTGATAGTCACAACTGTGGGGTGCTTACTGGCATTTAGTGTCCAGGGATGTCAAATGTCTTGTACTGCACAGGATCATACTGTAGGCCACATAGGTTCCCCATGAAGAATTACCTCTAAGATGTCAATTGTGTGGAGGTGAGACGCCTCTGCTTTAGACTCACCCTGTAGTTTTATGGTAGAGATGAACTTCTCTGACATAAAACTTTGTCTTTTATTAAGTAGCAACTGCCTGCAAGAGAGAGTTTTTACATTAAGCAGAAGAATCTCCTTGGGTGTTCAAAATGCTGATTCTGAGGTCCTGCCCCCAGGGCTTGTGATTCCTAGAACATGGCCTGGGAACTGTTGTTTAATGCATTCCCCAGGAGTCTGTGATACAGATGGGTCCAGATATACTTTGAGAAACACCAGCCACCTCAGAGAGAACTCATCCAGTCCTGTCTGGGAACCAGGTTTGACCTTTGCTTCACTGTTTAGTGTGTGCAGCCTAGAGAGTCTGGTGAACTCCTGGGCCATGCCCAAGAAGCTGGGAGCGTGATGGCCACTGACAGTAATGGGCCTGGAATACCACACAGGACTCTGCCTGGAATTCAGGAAGTTGCTTATGTGGCCAAGGTAGACTTTATTGGGACATTTTTTCTCAAAACAAATAGTTTGTAATGAACACAAATGGTTCTAAGCTTGGGAACACCCCAGACATGACTTCTATTATGTGCCACCCACTTCACCCATCACCAAACAAATGGTGGGCTGGGATTCCATGTCTGCAGCCTGGGAATGCCTCCAAATACAGACCCTGGGAGCGCTCCAGGACCACTGTATTCCCCATGCCCCTCTCCTCCCCTTGCCCCCATCAAAATAGTTTTCCCTCAGAGACTCAGGCTTCCTACTTTTGCGATTTTGCCCCATCCCTGCCCTGCACCTCAAATGATGTTTGTGAATTAATTATTTCCCAAAATCTGAGCTCCTGCGAGGAGCAGCCTTCGTTGTCCCCAAGAGAAGCCAAGCTCCGTGTTTCCCTGCACCCTGATCCATATGCTCCCTCCCTCCCTGGGCTCAGGGGCCTGCAGCTGCACAGGGCCTGCCCCTTGCTGCCAGTCCCCTTCCATAACAGGGACCAAGAGGCTTACAGGCAGGAAACAAGGCCCTGGGGTCTGGAGCCTGGTTTGCTGTTTGAGAAATGAGACCGCTAAGTATTAAATGTCCCAGCGCAGTGAGTGATGAAGCTGACAGGCCCAAAGAAGAGGGCAGCGGGGCCTGACCAGCAAACCAGGTCTTGGGGGTGGGGTCACGCAGAGGGCATCTGGCCCTGATCCCAGCCTGATCCTGGACTGATGGCCACTCCGTGTCCTTCCCACTTGATCCAGGGGGTCTCCTCACTGCATCATTGGCTTCCAGGAGAAAAACAGGAGTCTGAATATAGCAACCTCCCATTCTACACGGCTTCCTTCAAAAGGCTGCTTCTCAAAGCCCCAGCTGTGGGCGGGAGGAGCAGGAGAGCCAGGCAGCCAGCCCAGCTTCCTGAAGGCTCTCCATGCGCCATGGCCCGCGGGCACCCAGCACGCACCAGCCCCGCCGCTGCGATGCCCAAGAGGAGGCTCGCTCCTGCCAAGGGTGCGCAGCAAAGGGGGAGCCCGAGAGGAGATTGGCGAGGGTGTCTGCTAAACCTGCTCTCACAAAAGTGGAAATGAAGCCAAAAAAGGTGGCAGGACAGGATAAATCTTCAGACAAAAAAGTGCAAACAGAAGGGAAATGGGGAGCAAAGGGAAAGGCTGAATCGCCTGCCCAGGAAACAAGATTTATCTGCAGAAAAGGGAGAAACTAAAAATGAGGGGAGTCCAGCCTCTGGTGAATCAGGGGAGAAGCCAAGTCTGATTAATACCATGCACCACGTCTTCCCAGGGGGCCCTGTCTCCCTTCTTGTACAATCCAGAAGAATATTTTTATCAACTGTTTTGTAAATGCAAGTTTTTAGGAGCTCTAGAAACATTTTTAAGAAGCAGAGAATCCCACCTCATCCCAGTTTTTAAGTGTAAATCCTCTTTTTTAAGAGGTAAAATCACTTGCTGGATGTTTATTTTTTGGTACAACCAGCAAGTAGTGGGATGTAGAACATGGGAGGCTTCGACTGTCTTGGGTGTCAGCTTAGCATTCCATAACGGGGGTGGTTTTTCTATCGTGTAATCTAAACATACTAAATGGCAATTTGGAGTCAGTCGTGCATGTAGTGTATCTCGAACATTTAAAATGACTTCTACTCCTGTGTTGTTTTTGGTAGAATTGTTTCCTAAAGAAAACCAGTTGCTGACCTCGACTCTCCCTGTCAGGATTTTGTGCATCCGTAACACCTCTTGTCATCGCAGTCCGATTTTTCCTAGTAACTTTGTTAACGTGCTGTGAAAGACTGAAAATTTGCATATGTAGTGTATATGATATGACATTGTGAATTAGTGCAATTTAATGATATAACAGCATACCAACATTTGAAGATAATGGTATTTGATACCTGATTAATGAAAATTTGCCTCCAAAGTTTAAGCTAGCAAGTTGCTGGAATAACTTTAGAAAAGAACCACTACAAGATTGTTTAGGTATTTGGTACTTACGTTAAGAATTGTGTACAAATTGAAATGTCTGTGTACTGATGCTCCAAACAAATAAAATCTCAACCCTAAAAGAAAAAAAAGCCCCTATCTCCAAAGAGCATGTGTCTCCATCAGCTCCAGACACGTGTCTGACAGCCCCTGTCCACAGCCCAGCCCCTGTGAGGCCATGAGTGCCCTGGCCCCAGGCTCTCTGTAGGCGTCACTGTGATTACCCCGGGTCACTTGCAGGGCCCACGTAGCAGCAGCCCTGCTCTGAAAGATGGCGCCTCTGAGGGCACAAAGACCTTACTGAAGATGACCTAAAACTGCCTGGGCTTTTCCAGAGAGTTGGGCCGTCTGCCCACCGACGGTGGGGAAACTGATGAGGCAGAGGTTGGCACTGCAGGCCCCTGTCCAGGACATCTCTGCCTGGAGAAGTATTTAATACCGTGATGTGTCGCTCATCTTTTATGCTCCATTCCACAGTCTGCTGGCCCAGCACAAGTGGTGTGATCTCTCAGTGCCAGATTCAGTTCTCTTCCCTGGGCTGCTTTGCCAGCCAGTGGCTCTAAGACTCTAAGCCATTCTGGGGCATTTCCAACCAGCAAGTGCAAGGGGCTAACGCCCCTGGAACAAACTGTCCACTAACGGGCTGGAGCCAGCAGACCAATCCCGCACCTTCCTGCAGGTTCCTAAGAGGGGCTCCAGAGATGGAGGTCAGTAACACACCCTTGAACTGGCCCTGCCTCCTTCCCAGTTCTGTTCTTCGGGTCCCCTGCCCCTGATCCCACGCATCATTTCCTGAACGTGTGTCGCTGCTCACAAGCCCTACGTCAAGTCTCTGCTTTGGGGAGAGCCCAGGCTAGGACACAAATCTACTTGCTCAGACACTGACACACTGCCCCCACCCCAAACTCAGGCGTACTGGGGTATCTTACACGTGTATAGCACCTGACAGTTGGCAAAGGCTCGTTCCAGTGACTATGGCTGTGTAACAAATTACCCCCAGAACTCAATGGCATGAAACACAGCTATTCTTTGTGCCCAGAGACTGTGTATGTCAGTAGCTCTGAGGGCGCAGTGGGAACACCTGTCTGTCCCTGAGGTCTGGAGCCTCGGCTGGCATGATAAAGACTTGCTGGCTTATATTTCCGGTGGGTAATGCTGGCTCTTGGCAAGGAACTGCATTCCTCTCCACGTGTAGCTTCTCATAATGCGGTGTCCGGGCTGTGCCTCCTTTTATGACCCAGCCTCTGGCCCCAGACAGTATCTCTTCTATCACCAAAGCAGCCACAAAGTTCTGCCCAGGGTCAAGGCAAAGAAATGGGGCCATTTTGGGAAAATACAGTCTGCCACTGTTCCCTCCCACAAGACCTCATTAGATGCTCACAAAGGAGACTGCATCTGCTCTTAGGGTTTGCAGTGTCTAGATCCATGCCTGGCACATAGACACAAGTGGACAAATGACATTTGTTTTGTGGAGAGGCACAGGTTTTCAAGTTAAACTAACCTGGGTTTGAATTCTGGTTTCATTACTTACTACCTGTATGATGCTGGAGAAGTTACTTAGTTTCTCTGAGCCTCAGTTTCCTAACCTTTAACATGAGGGTCAAAATCTCCATTTCCAATGCTGATGCTGGGAATAGGTGCATCTTATAGGTAACGGGCCAGCTGACACCTGGTTGGTGCTCACTTTCCCTCTGTTTCTTTGCTCCTACTCCATGCCACGCCCACTCAAGGACTGATGGCTTCTTGGGCCTCCCAGCAGGTTTGTGGGCCAAGGTGGAAAGAAACCTTTAGTTGTGTGTCCAGGGTCTCAGCAACAGGCTGCAGCTGGAAGAAGTCAGAGTGACCAGCTGTAGTGCTCACTCTCTTCTCCCTTCCTGGACACTTGCTGCTCAACCCAGAGCTGCAAACAGTAGCCCAGCTCCCCAGATGCCCTGGAGATTCTCTCAGAGTCCCAAGGG